CTTTTGCCTTTGTCCAGCGCCTTTGCACTGTCGTGTACTCTCGCTCGCCAACACGGCAACCGCCCAGCATCGAGATGACCAGGCGCGGACAGGACAAGGCGCCGAGATAAGCAGTCGCAACGTTGACGATCCGACCGGTCCATGGCGCTGCAACCCTCGTCGCCGGCGTCCATGTCGACGTCTCATGATCCCCGTGCTCGCTATCTTTTTATCCAAGATTTGAATCCCAGCCATCTGATTGGTCCATTCGAATACTGCCAGACGCACACCGGTGTCACGGTCGCACATCATCGAATCGACGCGAGCGACGTACACAAGTCGGTGCATCGTAGAAACAGCTACTAAAGACCGCCCAACGCCAATATGAATATAGTTCTCTTTGTGTCGGCGCCACACTACTGGATGTACTGTACAAGAGCAAACCGCCGTCGGCGACGTTGCACGATCCGTGTGTAGAGTCGCCACCGTGTCCATGCATCACATTGTGTCGAATCCAGCGCATGAGAGGACAATGATCCAGAGTTTCAGAGTGTGATGGCCCTCGACTGCCTCTCCGACCCACGGAACACAGCTGGGTTCGTCATATGTTGCATGCATGAGGTCCGATCCATTGAATGGGACGGCCAGGAAGCGCTCATTTTCCAATTTCCACCATGAAGACCATGATCAAGACCACCGTCTGCGCTCTCGCCGTGCTCCAGTGCATCGACTCGACGACGGCCGCCAGCGAGACCCAGAACCTGCGCGCCACGTGGGGCGGCGGTGGTGGTGGCATCGACCTCGGCGGCGCCATCAGCAGCCTCGTCCAAAACTGCCTCAACGGCTACGGTCTCTTCAACGGCGGCGGCGGTGGCGGCGGCGGCGGCTGGGGCGGCAACAACAACAACAACGGCGGCAACAACAACAACAACAACGGCGGCGGCGGCGGCTGGGCCTAAGCATCTCTCATCGTCGTCTCGTGCATCGTCAATATCTACTTTGTCAATACAAGTCCTTTTCTTCTATCCATCTCGCTTCTACTCGACTTTGCCAGCTTCTACGCCTCGACTTTTGACGCTGCGAGCCAGTGTCGAGCTTTTGCCTTTGTCCAGCGCCTTTGCACTGTCGTGTACTCTCGCTCGCCAACACGGCAACCGCCCAGCATCGAGATGACCCAGGCGCGGACAGGACAAGGCGCCGAGATAAGCAGTCGCAACGTTGACGATCCGACCGGTCCATGGCGCTGCAACCCTCGTCGCCGGCGTCCATGTCGACGTCTCATGATCCCCGTGCTGTCTGCCACCGGCCGACCGACGCTCTCGCTATCTCTTTATCCAAGATTTGAATCCCAGCCATCTGATTGGTCCATTCGAATACTGCCAGACGCACACCGGTGTCACGGTCGCACATCATCGAATCGACGCGAGCGACGTACACAAGTCGGTGCATCGTATAAACAGCTACTAAAGACCGCCCAACGCCAATATGAATATAGTTCTCTTTGTGTCGGCGCCACGCTACTGGATGTACTGTACAAGAGCAAACCGCCGTCGGCGACGTTGCACGATCCGTGTGTAGAGTCGCCACCGTGTCC